ACTCACTTATTTCCTGCAACTAGTAATCAATAGAAACATAACAGCTTTAATAAAGAATAATAGAGATATAATTTATTTATAAAAGGTAATATAGTTCGAAATATTTAATAATCTATGGGTCCTCCTTTATTTTGAATAACCTTTTCAACCCTTTTTGGCATTGACTTGATTAGGTTCTGGCAAATCTCATCTCCAAGCATTGAATTCCATTCGGATATGAAATTCACAATCAAATCCTCATTGTTGATCAACTGCTTTCTCGAGAGCCTGTACTTTATAATGTTCCATAAGTTTTCTATGAGGTTGAGGTCAGGAGATTGGGGTGGCCATGTCATAACACTCACCTGCTTCTCATCAAATTATTCCTTCATCAATTTTGATTTGTGACAGGGAGCATTATCCTGTATAAAAATGAGCTTGGTGGGGTCGATTTGCACCCTTTCAGCAGAAGGGAGCAGACAAGACTCTAAAATTCTCTTGTACTGCTCGCTCCTGAGGGTCTTTTCAATAGGTTTTAAGAAACCAGTTCCATGAAAAGAAAAGCATCCCTAGAACATTATACTGAACGGATGCTTGACAGTACCTGCTAAATTCAAAAAAAAGCTTTCAAAGCTTCTTCTTCGGATTTTAGATCGCTTATCCTTTGAATTTAGCTCAACTTTCGTTTCATCAAACAATAGGCGAAAAAATTTTAAATAAAAAAAATCAGGTGAGTCACTTTTATCGAACAGAACTATATATATATATATATATATATATATATATATAACGTTGGCACCTGCCCGCATCCGAGGATAAGAATCGTCATCCCCTCTCTTTATTTTCTTTTTTTTTTCTGGTGGCGGTGACGGACATGGCTGTGCAGGCCCAGCCAACCCTGGATCTCTCTCTCTCTCTCTCTCTCTCTCTCTCTCTCTCTCTATCTCTCTATATATATATATATATATATATATATATATATATATATATATATATATATATATTGCTGTCTACCATTGTAACACTTATATTGTCTTCGAGGCCAGACATTATAATAAAGCAATTTAAGTTCTCCTCCCATCCTTTTTACGCAGTCATAACAGCATCTTTGCTCCACCCCCGTCCACGCTCACCATACACCCACCTACACGCCACTTTTTGTCGATTCGGCGATGTCGACATGTTCACGCAGAAGCTCTTTCGACGCGCCAGACACAGGAAAAACGACTGCTCAATGATCGTATCAGCTCCCGCCATTATAATTAAAGATGGCGGAGAACCCACACGCTCGCTAGACGAAGGCGACAACCGATATGTGCGAAGCTTTGGCCGCGCCATATTTGTTCAGCGAATCAAGTTCCCTTCTACGTCTAGACGTTATAGCACTAATAATAATGACGCCAACAATGGCCGCGTTGTAGCAGTATTCTTTGTATTGTTGCTGTTGATATTACATTATCAATTCGAAATTCTGTAATTCCGTTTCCTTTGCTAGTTTTACCTGGATAACTATTATTAATAGTATTTCTTAGTTTTCAGACCAGCCGCTTCGTTTAAACTTGGGATTGAAGTTTCTCTCGCTTTCTTTTTCCTATTTTTTTTAAGCATTCAACCCTATTCAAGGCGGGAAGCCACTAGCACGCAAAGGGTTACAGAGAGTTGGAGCGAGAACAAAGAGGAGTGATAGAGGAAAGGATAGAGAAAAGGTTAGGGGATAGATCAAGGCATCTGGAGACGTCGATTGACGTTACATTTAAATAGTTGGAGATTACAGAAAAACAAGAAATGGGGAGGGAGTTCCACGGGCGAGAGGTGCGAGACATGAAGCTATTGGAGTAGAAGAGACGGCTACATTTAACAGTTTCAGCAGTGAAAGGGTGTGAGCGAGATGCCAGCCTAGTTGAACGCTTAAATTCATGAAGTCTGGGAACCAGCGAAAGCAGCTCATCGGAGCAGTTACCGTGAAAGAATTTGTAAAAAAAGACAGAGGGAGGCAACGGCACGTCTGTGAGAGAGCGGTAAATCCGAAGAGCCACTCAAGATAGAATGTCACTGAATCAGGTTGTTCTAAAAATGGCGCAGCCACTCGTATTCGAGGATGCCCGTCGACTAGGGCGGCTAGCTAATCCCCGTTGCAGATGCCTGCTCAGGACCCACCTGTGGTTTATACTGCAACTGTGCTGACCATAGTTACAGTTTCTGGGAGAAAACAATGATATCTAACGTGATCAACAGTCTGAGCAAAACCAGCACGCCGAAACGCTCGGTCATGATGACTTGTGACTTCACAGCCACTGGCGGCTCCCAAAGGTTCCGTCTACCCAATCTAACTCTCAAGGCTAGGGTTCAACCCGTGGTATGCTTTTTGGGAACACTCCCCAGAACGATAACATGCGTCCTCCTGACAAATGGTGAGATTCGAACTCGGATCTCATGGTTCTAACCACTCGGCCACGTGCCTATGGGTGATGTGCCTATGACGATATGTATGGTAGATAAGGGGTAACCGTGGACTTAAAGAGGCAAAGAGTGTAGTGTAGTTGGGAGGGTGATTTTCTGAGCACAGCTTCAGGTGTGGCACAAGGCCGAAATTATGAGGATCGAACTCAATGCCCAATCTTGCGATTAAGCTATTCGAATGAGAGTTCCTTCTCACCAGTGGAATTTGAAAGGAATAAGGACGATACCCCACAACCATCCACCGTGATTAAAGATTTCATCAATCAAAATAATGCTGGAAACTTTTGCATCAACTAATCATGTGAAATACACAGTTCAGTTGAAATAAATGTAAAGAAACCAAGAGCCACTCAAGACAGAGGGCTGTTGTATGGTGTTTTTATGGACGTAAGAACTGTATATCGGGGGGGTATGTAGAATAGATAAAGGTCCATCCAAGACTTAAAGACTAGTTTGAAAGGTTAAGATTGTAGTAGTTAAGAATCATAATCTAAGCTTATCTACTTTACTCCCAGTAGAATTATTTACTATCTTAATAACATCCTCTCTATAAAGTTAATTTCATCATATGCAGTAAGATTGTACAAAATGAATAGACCGACTAAATCGGAGGATTCGGCAGAATCCAATGATCCCATAGATACATCAAAATTTACATACGAATTCTTTATACAATGTTCGTTAACTTTTACATTTATTACTCACCTCCTTTATATATTTTCTACCTTTTTATATACTTTTCTACAGATCTATCTTAGCCACTAAAGACAGAGGGTTACTGAAGGTTTTTTTTTTATGAACGTAAGGTCTGTATATCCGGAGGATATGTAGGATAAATAAAGGTACATCCTAGACATGAAGAGTAGTTTAAAGAGGTTAAGATTGTAGTGATTAATTAAGCACTCTCTCGGGAGTCTGTTCTCCAAAACAGTTGCTCTTGAGATTAAGATGTCCGAATAGAAATTTCTCCTTATCGATGTAATACGTAGATAATGAGGATGGTTAACCGCAGTGTATGTGGATCTTAGCCTTAAATGTCTGAACTGGTGGAACTAAAGAATGTATAGCGTCAGAACATTTTCAAGGAGACCAGTGATAAAGAAGCGATAGGCTTGTCATGTTACTTGTAATTATTTACACTACTTACATTGTACGGACTTTTGCCCTCGTCTTGGTTGCCCTATTCCCGATGTTTCGGCCGTTGAACGCTCCGGTCTTCTTCAGGGTCTGTTCCTATTATGTTGGCCTCATCATCGTAGCCGTATTCACAACGTTTCGGCCGTTTTACAATCCGGCCTTCTTCAGGATATGGCTCTTTTTCTGAGACGAGATATTGTAATCGTTTGCGCCATTTACACTGTTCGGACTGTTGTCCTCATCTTCGATGCCAGAAGGGATGTTTGGTTAGCAAGGTCGATTTTACTGTCTTCCATGATTCTCTCACTTACATTCATATGAGAACGAATATTTTCTACGAAAGTTTCTCGGATATTCAGGCCGGTAAATGTTGTTTAATACTGTTTATTATAAAACAGAACATTTACTTAAATATTTGTATCTATAAAAAGAATATATAAACACACACGGTGTGTGTGTGTGTGTATATATGGGCAGCAATTTTTCATTTGCTCTGTTTTATAATAATATGATGGTTCCGTATAAGATACAGGTTCGATTCCTGTCGGAGAACGAATATTTTCTATGAAAATTTCTCGGATATTCAGGCTGGTAAATGTTGTTTAATACTGTTTATTATAAACAGAGCATTTACTTAAATATTTGTATCTATAAAAACGAATGTATAAACATAAAAATGTCTTAAAATAATTGTCGGACTTTGTCCATTTCATAATGTATGACGTCATTTGTTTACATTTGATACACCTTGAGCAGATAGGAATGTACGTGAGAGAATCATGGAAGATTGAAGTTTAAAGACAGTAAATTCGACCGTGCCATCCGAGCGATCATCTGTGGCCAAATCGGTAAAGGCAAGTCGAGCTAAATGAGGGTTCCATATAGGATACAGGTTCGAATCCTGTTGGAGGACGAATATTTTCTATGAAAATTCCTCGCACATTCAGGCCAGTAAATGTTGTTTAATACTTTTTATTATAAACAGAGCATTTACTTAAATATTTGTATCTATAAAAAGAATGTATAAACATGAAAATGTCTTAAAATAATTGTCAGAGTTTGTCCATTTCATAATATATATATATATCAAGCATGCCACTATGGAATGTTACTAAATTATAAATCTGTGCCCTGGTCTTTTTCAAATATCTCCATTCCTGAAAGAATTACTCTAATCCCAAGCTGATATACGTGACTTAAAAAAAATGGTTAAATTCATAATTACATGTTATTTAAAATATATAACACATAAATTAATCCAAACTAAAATAATTTAATTACTAATTTACATTAAAAAAAAAAAAAGAATTTCAGTAACTTCATTTACTTTCATTTATTAGACATTGAATTGTATCACTTCAGGTACTCCATAGTCCCACATCCATGAACTTGCCTGACTTTTCAGTTAAGCTGATGAATATTCATGAGCATTCCTATTACAAAAAAATGTTGAAAAACAAATAACATTTTTGCTTTTGTATAGAAATACTTGTTACAAAATAAAATCCGCAGATTTGATAAAATCTGTCAGAGGACGAAACGCGTCGATTAAGATAAGTTTCCAGAGATGTCTTTTTCTTTTTTACTTTTACTCGATCTGAAATTTTTACACACACACACACACACACACACACACACACACACACACACACACACACACACACATATATATATATATATATATATATATATTTCCTCTGTTGCACACATTTTCTCACCCCTACCTACCCTGCACTACCCCTAAAAGCAAATGTTTGGCTATATCCTCTATTGTCAAAATGTGGGATATTTAATAATAATAGTGATGAAGTCAAGAACAAAACTTTAAGGAAACTGCATGAACTTGGCTAGACGACGTGTCCAGACACGTGTAAAGAAAAAGAAAAATAAGAAAAGAAAAAAGAAAATCTGTTTAAAAAATCTAACAATTTCAGCGTTCCAACATCTTCACCATTTCCTTTCGGTACGTAATCATAACAAACGATTGCGATTTTATATTTCACCCCTCTCCTTCCTACACATATATAATTCAATCCTCAGTCTGATGAAGTCTGTCTAGAGGTTGAAACGCATTTCGTATATTTTTTTTTAATTTTTCATTCATTTTGCGTACATTGTCCATATATACATACATATATATATATATATATATATATATATATATATATATATATATATGGACAATGTCATATATATATATATATATATGATATTCTTCCACATACACAGACACATACACACACAAACGCACGCGCGCACACACACACACATATATATACATTGTATAATGATTTCACTTCAGTTACACAGAGCTAAGACGAATAATTTAGTCTTAAACTAGTTTTAACTCGATTCAAATACCTTTGAAATCTTTCTGATTCAAGACGTTATTCTCTTCAATCTGATTTTCCGAAACTCAAAAGGATGAAAATGTAGAAGTGGGCAATACCACAACTTTTAGTATATATATATATATATATATATATATATATATATAAAATATAAAAGTGAACATAGAAATCAACACTTAAAGGCGACAGTCTGTTTCATGCTATATGCAATCGTCAGATCACGAGTGCGGTTATTTTTCTCGGCTATTTATATATATACGGGTCAGTAGTGCATTGTGGGTAGTCTATTTTGGCGGTTATTTTACCGGAAGTCGTTTATTTGTTTATATATTTATTTGGGTTAAATTATTTTGCTTATTTTTTTTTTTTTTTCTTATCTTATATATTTATTTATTTTTATTTTTTTAATCGGTGGTTTTATTAACGTAGTAAAAATTTGTTTATATCACTTGTTTAATAGTTTTGTTTTGGTTTGAGAAGATAATTAAAGCTATTTATTCGATTTTGGGGTTGATTGTTGTAGTTTATTCTAACTATTATTTTGATGGGAGAAGTTTTTAATTTGTTTATTACTTCATGTATTTATTTGGATTGATTATCTTTATTTGTTTTTTTTCTAACGGTTAGTTTATCGGGATCGGTTTATTTATTTATTTGGATGAATTTAGGTCAATTTATTTGACTTATTATTTATTTGTTATACTGTATATTTTCTCTTTTCGGTTTTTGATTTTTAAGTAACGTAGTATTTTTTCTTTTCTTTTATCGTTATATAAGAGTTATAGCTATTTTTTCGTCCGATTTTTTGGTTTGATTTTTATAGTCTAAATAATATTTTGGTCATAATGGTTTGCTAACTTTTTTTATTATTTACTTTATTTATTTAGGTTCGTTGGATATGGAAGCCTACATCAATTGTCCTGAGGAAGTAGTGCTGCTTTCGGTCAAGAGGGTAACTGCTGGAAGAACTTATGTCCAGCAACAGGACTCTGCATCATGCCAAACAAGCAGGAGAACCCAGTCATGACTGTCAGACAATTTCTGAGACCACATCACCCCTTACATCTAACCACCTAACTTCAGAGATTGCAGCTCCATTGATTATTGTGTGTAGGGTGCAGTTGAGCGAGATACTAACAAAACTCCTTGTAACACCAAAGAGGAACTGAAGTCAAGGATTATGGCAGCATTTATTAACTTAAACAAGGTGACGGCCTAGAAGAGTTACAGGTGATTCCGAAGTCGTCTGGAGGCCGTGGATTTTATTGAATTTACTCTTCAGTATTTCAAGATATTTTTGGTAAATATAGCTGTTAAAATCAGATGTCAGTGTTATTTTCATTCATGCATCATGTAGACGACAATTTTTCCATCACACGCTCCCTCTCTCTCTCACTCCCTCTCTCTTTCTCTCTCTCTCTCTATCTATCTATGTCTGTTCTTGTCTACCTTTCTATCGATTTCAGTCTGTTCTTATCTCTCTCTCTCTCTCTCTATCTATCTAATTATTTCTAATATTATCTATCTATCTATCTATCTATCTATCTATCTATCTCACTCTGTTCTTCTATAGACAGATAGATAGATAAATAGATAGATTGATAACTTTTACATAAACAATTCTCATGTAATGTAACCATAAAGTTTACATATATCGAATATGTTTGATATGTTTGTCTCAGGAACATAAATATGACATATAAAGGAATATATATGTGCGTGTATTTGTGTTGAAACTTCCGAGAAAATAATTTCTTTTTATTACCAAAATGTCTTCTTGAATCGGTTGTCGCGAAATGGTTTTCGGGCCGGAGAGACGCCAATTTCCCTTTAACCTTACGAAATGATTATTCCAAGCAAAATGCGGTAGAAAATCTCAATGGGTGATAAAAAAAATAAAATAAAAAAAATTGAAAAATCGCCCATAAACCCAACAGGGTGAATAGCGGACACGCTATAAACATTGAAACCGACGTGTGAAATACACGTTAAATATGTTAAAAAAATGTCAGGTTTTGTCAGCGACACCAAGGCGCCTGTGAATAACACGATATTTCAGGAAATTGTCGAGCAGACCGACTTTTTTTTTCTTTTTTTTAAACTAATGTTCACCTAATACGAGGTCCAAGAGCCATTCAAAGTAGAGGGTTACTGTGTGGTCTTGTATGAGCGTAAGTAAAGCCAAGAACTTCCGTTCATGAGGAAAGACGGTCCCGAATGCTGGAGCAAACCTTGGTGATAGCGTCCCTGTGCATGTTGGCTATAGCGTCCCTTATGTCTGTCTTGAGTGCCTCCTTGATATTGTAGCGCCTGCTGCGCACCCCACTTTTCAAGATGACCCACACAAAATACTCGAAAGGTTTGCAGTCTGACGATCAGGCGGGTGCATACCGGGCAACTAAGGATACGCTGAGCAAGTGGTACCCCTTGAGCACAATATTTATAATGAACTGTTTATAATTCAAGTTCTCCTTCACACTACACACAATTGTTCGCCTGCTGGCATCCATTTCCTTGTATATTTTCCTCATGCTTTTGCTGGGGTTCTCCTTGACAACCTCGGCTGTTCATATGTGTCTTGCGTCCTGGCCTGAAATTGTCCTTGACGTCCGAGGCCCCATATGCCTTTACAAGGTCCTAGTTCATGGTTTTAGGGTATTTAAGCCATTCAATGCTTTCCCTGGCTTTGTGGCCGGCGCGAAGGCTCTCCACGACAGCAACTTGACGATCGTCTTCTGAAGACATGACGATTACTAAGAACTTTGTGCGTCAATAGCCTGACAGCTACTGAAGTGTAGTACTTTCTAATAGCGCTCTCAAAATCTCGCATAACTGTGACGTCATGGCGTTGTTGCCACATAAAAATTCCGGATTTATATGCTCCAAACTGTATGTACTCAGCAGCACTATCATCTTTTACAGTGTTGGTGCCAGTCAGTCAAACCCAGATTTTATATGGTCAGTTGCTTTTGGATGTTCTCCAAATACTCAGCAGGATAACATTGGTAATTACTTATATTATTATTATTATTATTATTATTATTATTAGTAGTAGTAGTAGTATGAGTGTCAGTATGTAAAAGGAGTTAAGAAAGAGACGTGATTGAACGGAAATGCCAGTAATGGTAAAACACTAACGTTGTAAAAAAAGACGGTAATGGTAAAAACACTAACCGGGGAAACGTCACTAATAGTAAAAATCAAACCTGGGAATCGTCGGTTATGGCAAAACACTACCTTGGAAACGTCAGTAATGGTAAAACACTAAGCTGGGAAACGTTGGTAATGGTAAACCACTAACTGGAAAACGTCGCTAATGGAAAAACACTAACCTTCGCAACGTCGGTAATGGCAAAACACTAACCTTCGCAACGTCGGTAATGGTAAAATACTATCTTGGAAACATCAGTAATGGTAAAACACTAACCTGGGAAACGTTGGTAATGGCAAAGCACTAACTGGAAAACGTCGGTAATGGCAAAACACTAACCTTCGCAATGTCGGTAATGATAAAATACTACCATGGAAACGTCAGTAATGGTAAAACACTAACGTGGGAAACGTTGGTAATGGTAAAACACTAACCTGGGAAACGTTGGTAATGGTAAAACACTAACCTGGGAAACGTTGGTAATGGTAAACCACTAAATGGAAAACGTCGCTAATGGAAAAACACTAACCTTCGCAACGTCGGTAATGGCAAAACACAAACCTTCGCAATGTCGGTAATGGTAAAACACGACCTTGGAAACGTCAGTAATGGAAAAACACTAACCTAGGAAATGTTGGTAATGGCAAAGCACTAACTGGAAAACGTCGGTAATGGCAAAACACTAACCTTCGCAACGTCGGTTATGGTAAAACACTTACCTGGGAAATAAGTTCGTCGTACGTAGCGGGCAAAGAAGAATAGCTGATAAAGTCGTGGGTGTATGTACAAGGTGAACATTTGCATAATTTTCGAATAAATGCAAGGAAATCTTTTTGCGTGTGGTGCCAAAAGCGGCAAATGGTCAATTTAACGTAAGACAGGCACTGAATATGTTTTAACTATCTTCCCGAGAGCAATTTTCTTACGTTTTGCAGTTATATATCCTTTTAATATTTCGGAACTGGTATTAAAAAGGAGAACGTTTTTTTGTCCCTTGCATTTCTTTTGAATTTGTCAAAGACAAAAAGGCAGGCAAATTATGGTAAAACATTGTGTCAATTTGACAGCATTACGTGTTGTCGGACCCCCAAAACCGCTTGCTATAGGCAATTTCTGGAAAACAACGTCAGGTTAATCCTGTCTGTCACTTATAAGATTCATTTTAACAAGATTTCAATACGTTTATTTGCAAAAAGAAACAGGAAAAATGAACTATCTAGATCTGATCATCAAAAGATAAATGATTAAACATTGCGAGGATTGGTTCTTTTTTTTAATCAATTCACCACAAGAAAGGCGATAATGCCACTAAGACTCAAGGGACTACTGGGAGTGAAAGAGAGTGAAAAATACTTTAGAAGGAACCAGAAATCCAATCCTAAACAGGAAACAAGTGATAAACCTCTACTCCTCTATTCACCCCAAGCAAGGTGATAATGCCACTAAGATGCAAGGGTCTACTGGGACTGAAAGAGAATGAAAAAGACTTTAGAAGGAACCAGAAACCCAATCCTAAACAGGAAACAAGGGATAAACCTAAATTCACCCCAAGGGAGGATAATGCCACTAAGACTCAAGGGACTACTGGGAGGAAAGCAAAAAGACTTTAGAAGGAACCAAACCCAATCCTAAACAGGAAACAAGGATAAACCTCTACTCCTCTATTCACCCCAAGCAAGGCGATAATGCCACTAAGACTCAAGGGACTACTGGGAGTGAAAGGAATGAAAAGACTTTAGAAGGAACCAGAACCCAATCCTAAACAGGAAACAAGGGATAAACCTCTACTCCTCTATTCACCCCAAGCAAGGCGATAATGCCACTAAGATGCAAGGGGCTACTGGGAGTGAAAGCGAATGAAAAAGACTTTAGAAGGAACCAGAAACCCAATCCTAAACAGGAAACAAGGGATAAACCTCTACTCCTCTATTCACCCCAAGCAAGGCGATAATGCCATAATGCCAAAGCTGAAAAGACTTTAGAAGACTCCTAAAACAGGAAACAAGGGATAAACCTCTACTGGGATAATGCCACTAAGACTCAAGGGACTACTGGGAGGAAAAATGAAAAATACTTTAGAAGGAACCAGAAACCCAATACTAAACAGGAAACAAGGGATAAACCTCTACTCCTCTATTCACCCCAAGCAAGGCGATAATGCCACTAAGACTCAAGGGACTACTGGGAGTGAAAGCGAATGAAAAAGACTTTAGAAGGAACCAGAAACCCAATCTTAAACAGGAAACAAAGGATAAACCTCTACTCCTCTATTCACCCCAAGCAAGGCGATAATGCCACTAAGACTCAAGGGACTACTGGGAGTGAAAGCGAATGAAAAAGACTTTAGAAGGAACCAGAAACCCAATCCTAAACAGGAAACAAGGATAAACCTCTACCCTCTATTCACCCCAAGCAAGGATAATGCCACTAAGACTCAAGGGACTACTGGGAGTGAAAGCGAATGAAAAAGACTTTAGAAGGAAGCAGAAACCCAATACTAAACAGGAAACAAGGGATAAACCTCTACTCCTCTATTCACCCCAAGCAAGGCGATAATGCCACTAAGATGCAAGGGGCTACTGGGAGTGAAAGCGAATGAAAAAGACTTTAGAAGGAAGCAGAAAGCCAATCCTAACCAGGAAACAAGGGATAAACCTCTACTCCTTTATTCACCCCAAGCAAGGCGATAATGCCACTAAGACTCAAGTTACTACTGGGAGTGAAAGAGAACCTAAACGATTCTAACTGGATCAATAATTGAAGTTTGAACAAAATTAGTCCAGGTCTGGTATTGTGAGTCAGTCTAATTTGCGGCTAGATATATAACATATCAGTTTGGCAAAGTTTCCAAAAATGCTTAATTTCAGTCTTTGTACTAAACGTTCAGCATATCAACACCTCAATGGTTATTTAATGCCTACAAGATTTTTATTGCTGGTAATATTTTTTTTCATTCAAAAAACCTATTTCTGGTAATATTAAAGAAAGAAAGAAAAGAAAGAAAGAAAGAAAGGGATTTGGTAAGAAAGAAAGAAAGAAAGAAAGAAAGAAAGAAAGAAAGAAAGAAAGGAAGGAAGAAAGAAAGATTATTGGAAAGAAAGAAAGAAAGAAAGAAAGAAAGAAAGAAAGAAAGAAAGAAAGAAAGAAAGAAAAAAAAGAAAGAAAGAAAGAAAGAAAGGGGATTGGTAAGAAAGAAAGAAAGAAAGAAAGAAAGAAAGAAAGAAAGAAATGGGATAGGTATGAAAAGAAAGAAAGAAAGAAAGAAAGAAAGAAAGAAAGGGATTTGGTAAGAAAGAAAGAAAGAAAGAAAGAAAGAAAGAAAGAAAGAAATAAAGGATAGGTAAGAAAGAAAGAAAGAAAGAAAGAAAGAAATGGGAAAGAAAGAAAGAAAGGAAAGAAAGAAAGAAAGAAAGAAAGAAAGG